ACAAATCTTGAAGTCAACATACTAACTCTAAGTTTCAGAAAATCTTACAAAATTATCAAAATTACCGTCGTTATCATCCTCGATCGATCGCATATCTACAATCTTCCATAAAAACTAAACCAATAGGGTTCTGTTACAAATGCTCTTCCTCCTCAATTTCCTTTTGTTGAAACAGACCCTCCTTAAGTATCTTCAAACTCATACCAGATGATATAAACTGCAAAACATATTGAAATATGTGAGAATATAGTTAGAAAAATGTAGAAAATTCATACAAAAAGAAAGCAGAGAGATGAGTCTGAGATTCTTTGATTGAAGAAGCCATTGTATTTATAGGTAGAAAATACTAATTCAAAAGGAAAGTATAATAATTTATTTATTTAAGGGAAAGTATAATAATTTATTTATTTAAGGTAATAACATTATTATTATTTATTTATTTATTTATTTTCCATTTGACATTTACTTACCAAATAAGTTTTACTACAAAAGTTTTGGGGGAAAAATTTGTTAGGAGGATTTTACTTTTATTTATATTTATATATTTATATATTTATATATTTATATATATATATATATATATATATATATATATATAGATAATATAGATATAGATTATGGTTAAATATCTTTATTATTTTATTAATTAATTTTTTTGAAGGAACTATTTGATTGTTATAATTAAAATAAAAGTTGTTTCTAAAAATAAAATTATATTAACCTATATATGTAACAAGTTTTAAAGGGTTATTATGTTATATAGTGTCTTGTAGATTTGAAATTTACTAAATGCTAACTAATAAAAGTATATGTCGTGTAGATTTTGTTTTTAACATATTTAAAACTTATGTACGTGTCTAGAATTTTAACCCGTTAGAGTTCATTTTTATCATGTTCTCATTATTATCGTGTCAACTTCTTAACAAATTCAACTATACAATTTGTCCAATCTGGTGGTGTGTGAGAATTTTATAATTTTTTTAAAAATAAAAATGACACCTAACAACCAAAAATAACACATATGACCCAAGAGAAAACAGCATGTGAAGGCGCTACTAATATTCTTCATAGTTATTCATAGAGGCTAGGTAAATAGTTGCTTTTTTTTTTAATAGTAATGAATAGAGAAAAAATGAGTTTATAAAGTTACCAATAAAATTAGTTAATTTATTGGATTTAATATGATTTAATTTAATTTATGTGATTTTCTTTTTATAACTCAAAATTTCTACGGTTGAATATGTGATTAATTGTCTCGCTGAATTGTAAACAACTCTAAAGATAAGACAACTAATATAAAAATTTAATATGTTTTATATCCAAAGTCAAAAATAAAATTCTCGAAGTTTGTGAAATACTCGGTATAATAAAACAGTTAATTTGGACCTCATCTTAAATAATTTTAATATTTGCAAATAAATTTTAAAAATAGTAATAAAGGTGGGAAGGAAAACATTATGTAGTTGGAGTATGTATATTCTTTTGAGGGTGAAAAATAAAAACTTTAGGTCATATCGAAATGGAGAGGAGGGGTCATTAGGAGCCCAAAAAGCAAAAATGCTTTAATGGCGATGATAACATAAAACACAGAAGTGATATGATGTTTTTGGAAGCTGCCAGCCAGCCTCTCATGGGGCCATCATTAGTCCCTTTTATACTTTTATTCTAAACTCCAATCATCTTCTTTTCTTTTCTTTATGCTTAAAACTGCACATCATCATGCTGAATTATATTGCTGATCATGAAGCTTCATATTATACTTAGCTTCTTGGACCGAATATTACTGTTATATCTTAATATATACATACTAATTAAGGATATAATGAATCATATTCACTATTGTCATCTGTAAGTCCACACGTACACCTCTGATCTACTCCCCCTCACGTGCAAATCTTCTGTTCCATCTCTCCACTTTTTCAAATTTCAACTTCTTCATTCTTTTCTCATCTACTGCTTCTGTCTGTGCTCCTTCCCCTCACAGTACTGATTAAGTAACCTTTTTAAACCCAGAAAAGTTAATCATCAAGTCATAATTAAGCGATAATAACCCAGAAAAGTTACCCGCATGGGCAGCTCAACTGGTCATAGAGGTGAAAAGTTAGAAGAATGACTAGGAATCGAGTCTTACCAGCGACAGTATGGGAGCTACCTCTCAAAGTGAGGGGACTCCTTGTGTGCAATAAGCAAAGGTCTAGCTTCTGTGATTCATGTTCAGTTGAGTTACCATGATTTATATCCTCTCAAATGCTCTGTCGGGTCGAAGTGTGATGAGCCCTTAGGGTTGGGGTTTAGCCTTTTGGAAGAATAACCCAAAAAACCTGCCGTCACTACTTGCGGGCACCGGTGAGCGCTACCTTTGTGACCCTATACAACAAAAGATCACACGGAGGTAAATAAGGCTAAATTGTTCATAGCGGACCAGCTCAAACCAAAAATGACAATATAAGTCTCTAACAAAATGTAAATTTAGTATATATAATTATTGTATTAAAAAAAATCTATAAAATGCATACGGTGTTTGATATGATGATCTTGAGACCTTAAGTAAAATGTCTAAATGCAGTTAATTCAATAAAATAGAGTGTGTAGTAGTCAGAAAAATCCAGATGCCACCCTGGTGTGTCACTGTCAATTTAATTGCTTCCAATTCCTCTTCTTGCGGCCATCCCACCCCCATACAAAATCAATACTCCGCGTAATATGATTAGGGAGGAAGAATTAAGCAAGAATATCATTACCCATATAATAAGTTTTAATAATATTTTATTTTAATCAGGCAACGAGTTTTGAGCTATAAATATTAAATAGTGAATTTTGTAATAGGGAGCAAATTAAAAGTTGGTTCATTATGTTATATTATATATATGTTGTAAAAGGCGAGTGTGGCAGTCGAAGATGGACCCGTGCATGGATCCGTAGTCTGCCACTTTTTACCACCTAAAGCCGTGACAATATCGAGTGGTACCAAATTCGAATTTAGTAAAGCTTCAATTATTTTTTGCCATATCATTATCGAGGGGGCTTGCCTAGAACTCAGAGATTATCGCACGTACGGCCTAATTAGTTTTTTTTTTTTTTTTTTTTTTTTAGATGAGACTAATAATTTTATGTGTTAATTTAATTTTGGGTGGCTTCGTTTCGTTATTATTTAACGTTAATTGGGGGAATTAAGGATTATATCTTTTATTGTCTTGAGAATTTAGTGAGTTATTAGCACAAGCTAGCTAGCTGCTTGTTCCCACATGTTTGGGTTAACGTTGAGTAAAAGTTATAATTGAGTAGGCTGTGGAAAGCATTTCAAGAATCTTGAACAGTAATTCCAAACAGTTAACGACGGCTAAATTAAACACACTAATCATATCTTCCCTGACTAGATAAATTATTATTTAAATTACAATTTTTTCATCCCTAAATTATAAAGTAATTATAGAATTTGTCTCTAAGTATTGGTCATGCTCACTTTTCACTCTTAATCTATCATAGCATTGCGTGCACTTTTCGTTCCTAATGTTTTATTCGTAAAGGGACGAAAAATGTTGGCCGATGATAGCTTAGGGACGAAAAGTGAGCATGATTAACAATTAGGGATGAAATCTACAATTATCATATGCATATAACATATAGATGAAAAATGCAATTTTCCCTTCTTGTCGTTGTTTATACTAGTTTCTATTTTATAATACAGCGAAGTGTGTGTGTGTATTTAATTCAAATTAAAATAGAGGAAATGTTATTGTTCTTTAATAGTGACATATTGCACCTTCCAGGAAGGAGACTGTGGTTTTTTAAGATAGAGACATCCTGATCTGAATCCAAATTTGTTTCTTCTTCCCAATTGTTAAAATTCCTATCTGCGTTTTTTTTTTTTTTTAATAAATGAAATGTCACACTTGTGTCTCACGAATTATTATATATCCGTGACACTGGTCGGGACATATTGCTTTAATATGGAATGTAATACTTATACTGAAAATTGTAGTATTAATTAATAAGAAATAATCTGTTTGTTATTTATAAAGAAAAGTGTAATACTTTTGAAAAAAATATATAATACTTTTAGATTAAGGTATTACATTTTCATCAAAATATTACAACTTCACTTATAAATAATGTTGACAAGTATTTGTTACTTATATAAAAGAAAATGTAATACTGTTAAATCAAAAATAAAAGTATTACATTTTTGTTTTCAAAAGAATTATAATCTCCCATCTAAGTAATAAACACTTTATTTCTAATTAGTAATACATTTTTCAGTAAAAATATTAAATTTTCATATTGACGCGACCCGCTACATGATCAGGATTCGTGAGACTGTCTCACACAAGTTTTTGCTTCTTTTTTAAAAGATCATAGTTCCGACCTAATTTTAAAAGGGTGACCAAGTGAATAGATCATGATTCTTATACCAAAATGTTACGAATTGAATTTGATTCTTGCCAATTTTTGTAGGTCCAGTCAGTCACAAAATTTTTCTAGTATAATTTATCTTTCTTGTGTGATTTACAAGTTATTACATAGAAATACAATTTATCCTAGGCACCTTCAAGTAACGGTTGGTTTTCTTTTCTCATTTAAAAAACAAAGTTCTACCTAATTGTTTTTCATGATTGTAAACCATTGAACATTGTGCCATCCAAGCATCTTTGGGTTACTATTTGTACCCTACTTTTCCTTTTACTTTGTTTTCCACACATCAACAATGAATGTTGTCACGTGTAAACGTAATTCAACTTTTATCACACAAATTATTGGCATCTATTTTGCAAATCCCGTGATGTACTGTTTGTTCCACACATGAAAAGTAAAATAAACACCGCAGGAGTAACAAACATAAACCACAACCTCGTCAACTTCATGTCCGCCCACAGATATGAAAAGCCAAGATAACACTCTTCCTTTCCTGAATTTTTTATTAATAAAGCAATATTACTAAGTATATATCCTAATAATTATTCTTGAACCACATAGTATATAGTATATACTGCACATATATGTAATTTTTTTAAAAAGAAAAGAATCTTGAAAGTTATTGAGTGTCAGGCTCGGATCACAAGGGTTCGTCATGGGTTCGTACACAGTCAATTTGCAAAAGGCACTGGAATGTTACAAGTCCTCAAAACCTAAAACTAAAAAGAAAATGGGGGGAGAGAAAATTGAGTAAAAAAAAAAAGAAAAAAGAAATTTAGAGTTAATAAAGGGTGGTTTTTTTTTTTTTTTTTTTTTTTTTTTCAGTTTTGACTGGTGCAAGCAGCTTCTTCTTGGATTCTGGCAAGCAGTTGGTGAACGGCGTCAGCTATTTCGTCTACTGTTGTAAGCTGGCAACCATCCTCAAGCTGTTTCATGATGATCATGCAAACCAACACTTAATTAATGAAAGAATCATTAGTTACCTAGCTAATTAAGGTTTAGACGAAGTTAATGATGAACAAACCTTAACGCTAAGCGAGTAGAGCACCATTTGATCGACGGTGGTGACGTTGAGGTGAAGAACAGTGAGCCATAGATACTGAAGATTAGCGACGATCTTGAGGAGCTGCCTCGGCCTTTTCTTCGACAGTATCTTCACATTGGCGTGGCTCTCCACCATCGTCACTTCGATGTCCGCCAACGCCGACCGGTTCTCCGCCGGCGATGTCGCCGCCTCAGGTGCGCCGGCCGATGATGACCCAACACCGTTAGTTGCTCCCTGGGTCTTTGAGTACTGCGGGAACGTGAAGAAATCGGCGAACAGTGGCGGCGACGACACGCCGCCGTTGTCGGGTTGATTATTATTGTTGCTGACACGGTTATGTGCTTCGAGGGTTTGAAGATGTTGCTCAAGCTCCTTCACGAAATTAATGGCGCCTCCAATTATTGACGCTTGATCACCCTGTAATTAAAAAATAAATAAAATCTCAAATTTTATACTAAACTGCTCCGTATAAATTACGACTAATTCTTTATTATATATTGATTTGACCACCATTAAAACAAATAAAACAGCTAAGATCTTAATTATACTACAATTTAGTGTAAAAAGTGGCTCGACAAACTGTTTCATGTCTTTATCGTGTTGCATTCATTAACCAGCTCAATTTTATATCGAATTTAGTTCAATGATTCAGTATGCAAAGAGAAGAGATCAATGTTCGAATCTTCACAAATTCCTTGTTATCTCGTAGTGTGGAGACCTTCGAGATTGAGGATTCAACCTTTTAGGAGCTTAATTGAACCATGTTTATAGAAAAATAAAATTATTATTCTTAATTTTCCTCAATATGGTTTTTTGTTAAATGTAAATTTAATTAACGTACGAAAATTAAAAGAAACATCAACTGACCCTTTGAACGTAGGAAGCTGGCATCATAGATCGAATAACGGCGAGGTATTCATTCATCTGTTTGCGGCGGTTGCGCTCCACGGCAATGTGAGTCATTCTCTGATTCTCCAACTCCTCCTTGTTCTTGCACGTCCTAGTCCGCCGCCGCTTGCGCCTGCCGGCGGCGGCGGAAAGCGTCGCCGGCGGTTGATCCATGGCGGCGGCAGCTGGCAAGGACCCATCGACGACGAGGAGCGAGGGATGGTGATCGCCGCCGTTACACGCTTCCGGCGAGGAGTTGGGATCCCAATACCCGTGCAAGCTCTGATTGTCCATACTGGTAGTCGTATTATCCTCTAGCATCCCAAGAAACGCCTTGTCAACATCTCCCTGAGAGCTAAAATCATAGCCCCCCACCCCCCACCTCCATAAAACTCTTTACACCCATAAACTAACGAATCTTGAGGGTAGATCACAGTTTCTAAAGCCATTTTCACAGCAAAAGTCCAAAAGACTATTCCAAACCACTGTAATTTTGAATTTTCTCTAGATCTTGTATAAGAACAAGCTAGATTTGGGGTTGCACATTGAGCAGTGGCCTTTGTTTGCTTTGTTTCAAATATGGACAAGTAGAGGAGCAAATAAAAGGGACCAGAAAAGTGGTTCGGAAAGGCCAAGGGGAAAAGGATGGAGAAGAAGTTGTTAGAAGGTGAGAAACTGAGGAGAAATTGGACGGTCTTAAGCATATGCCCAAGCGCTACAAATTAAACCCAAACAGCCACCAAACAAAGTAGGGTTAAGGGAAATGGTTTGATACAACTTTTATAGACGAACATGCACACTACTAATATTATATGTCATCACCAATACTGCAATTTATATGACTTTTACACATGTCCTTACACTGCTCCTGTGATGATTAATCATGTATATATAGTTTACCTGGTAGGTATAATATTTGATCTCTACGCTACTCTACACAAATTCATGTTCAATTCAAGTTGTGCCATAAACACTAATAACTAGTCCTTTGATTAACTAACCTTGTGGTTGCATTCGCGTACTAATTGTCCAAAAGAGACTATTCATGCATAGTTGTACCTGCTACAAAAGTATATAATAGTTCGATCGTTAGTGTGATCTAATCTAAGTTCGGTAAGTACAATAGGATGTAAATCGCGAGTCATTCAGTCAATCTCTAGGTTCCCACCCATACTGGTAAACTATACGCACAAGGAGTCTTCATATTCTCTAACTGGTTAAGGTCTCTCAACAACCCCCTAGGTTGTGAACTAATCTTAGCTTAGTTTAACCTGAGTTGTGTAGGTCTGTAGAGTTTGACGCTTACTTAGAAATACATGTAATACACAACCAATCATCTATTTTTGCAGTTGCATTAATGGCTCGTATAGTCGTATATATACTATTTGTCTCAAATTATTGGGTTAATTCAATATCAAATATTTTTTATGAACACTTAAATACTGCACTCAAATGAGATAATTGATTATTACTGTGAAATCTAGGAAAGAAAATGATGTTAATATTGTACAATAGGCTATATGATCCATGGTACGTGACACAACATATGTACAAATAGATGAATAAGGCACTGTTAACTTTCTCTTTCGATGACATGGTGGTTCTGCAAGGACGGAAAAGTCCTCCGTCAGCTTTGGTGCAGTGGGGGCGAGACCGTCCTTTCACCAACTTACGCACAAGTAGGTGCATTGTGTCACACACAAAAGGGGGGTGCCTATGAGGCCCGTAGCCATTGTTTAGTTTAGGAAATTCATAATATGCATGGTCGGACGCTGCGCACAAGAAGCGAAGAGAGAGGGAATTGCTGACGAAAAGCTTGATAAAAGCTTTCTCACACATTCCAGCAAAATCTAAAAAGAGACTACGGTCCACGTGTTGTTAGAACTTGTAAAATTCAATTATCAAACTTATGCTTTTAGTATCTTAAAATTGTCACAAAATTAACTTAAAAGTAGAGATTTAATTTCAAGTGAAGTAGTTAATGTGAGATGATGAGAGTAATTGTGTAATGATAAATTATAAAGAAACAAGTTGTATATGTGTGTGAATATTTGTGAGACAGAACATTGAGGTTTGCATAGGATATCTATTATGTCGATAGCAGAGGAATCCATGTGACTTCACGAAACAAGAATAGGGAGCTCTGTTATCTTCTACGATGATGACTCTGTTTCACCACTTCCTTTCCCAAGACTACTGTCCACTGTCACAGTTCCCCAGTTTTACCACAGGATTTTACCATTAACTGCTAGTACGGAGTATATTCACGGTTAATTATCCCCCCCTCCCTCCCACATTCTCTTTAGTCTTTAGTCTTTACCCCCCTCTGTCCTCTCATCATTTCACAGTGTTACTGGAAAAACATATGGTGATATCACGGGTCTCAAACTGTGAATAGTAAAAATCCAGAGGGTTAATATAGTAAAATTTCAAATGCCACACGCTTCAACGTGCTCTTGCATGCCAATTCAAAACGACATTTAAAATTAAAGGTAGTCCTGTCAAAACGACATTCTTTTGGGTTTCCAACGGAATATTACTTAAAACTGTGCCTTTCAGTATTATACTTTATAATTTATATTTCCCTTTTCATTCCTCTGAAAGCTACACGCATCAAGATTGAACTACTTGGAAATACTATAATGTTGTTTTATGGTGTCACGTGATGCGAAGTACAAAATTTTACAATATGAAAAATAAACCGTACCCTATAAAACAAACATTTTATTTACAAAAGTGTTACCGTGTTCGCTTCTATAGTTAAAATGTTATACCTTGTAATATGGTGTAGAATCTTTTGGGTTTGTTATCATGCGAGAGCTGATGAAAAATAGGGGATAAAATCCAAAAACAACTGGCAGTACATAGACCTTGATTAGTGCATCATTAGCATGCTAAGCTAGATTAAGCGATTCGATGAGGGATTAGGTGGGGGATATTAGGATAATAATGCAATTAAAATAAGTTGAGAGTGATCAATTAGTGAATAATTTAATGGGGGGAGATGATTAGTTTAACAAGAAGGTAATATTCTTTGAGAATTTCGAAGCGGGTGGAGGGGGATTGAAGACGCAAACCCTAGAGGAAAGAAAGTCGTGGATTCTTTTGGAAAAAGGCTATTGTCTTTTGAGCTGATGGGAGTAGTACAATAGCCATGAAGCTACCAAATTTCATGGCTTGGATAATGGGTTGGGAGTTGTGTGTGTTTGTGTGTGTATGGGCAGATTCATGTCCTCTTTTCATAACATTATTGAGGAGGAATCTGTCCTTGCATGCTATCTTCTGCCCTGCTACTTCCTTCCTAACGTTTTATATATTGTAGGTACATGTACTTGCCACTACGTCATAAGTTATATATAGTTCGTAGCAAAAATGAAATTTTATTTTCTCAACTTATATCGCCACACATTTTTAAGAGGCAAGGTATTGGACTTGACTTTTCAGATCTTCGTTCAACAATCCCACTAATTAATTGTTGAGCATAATATATATATATATATAACATAAATGTGCAATTCAATTATTAGCTTAGACTTTTAGTTGAGATGGAACACATGCTTCAATTTTGTATCAAAGTCATGCCAAAGGTCAATTTTAATCACCTGGTGTTAGACTTGATCCTTCACCGGCCTACGCTCAAAAGTACCCTCATTCTACTTAGCTTACATGTGTTTGTGATGAGTAAGCTTGTGAAATTTGATGAGTCTAGAATTTTTTAATTTCACCGGAAATAATTTTGCTTGATGCTTTTAAATTTTGTATTTAAAGTAGGTATCTAGCTTTTGTGTAGTTGAAGTATAATGACGGATTATAATAAACAACGCAACTTGTTAATGAAGATATAGAGCACTAGATGAACTTTTCATATGTGTGTTGCTCTATATGTTGTCTTTTTGGTCAATTTTTGTACTATACTGTATCGCAAGTCAATAGTTGATTTGTCTAGTATAGGCAAAAATGAGTGTGTTTATATTTATTTATTTACTTATTTATTACGGAGTAACAATTCTTAACATGAAAACAAATTGATTGAAATACTTAAAATTATTGAAATCTGGACAAAATACTTTAATTTAGTTCATTAAGTAATAATAATTTTCTTTATTACAAATATTTTTTTTATATACTCCTCATCTAGATTTTTTTTTTAAAAAAATAACTAATACATTTTTTAACCATCCAGATATGGTATATTTTACTTAACGAATGATTACCCAAAAAAATATTTAAATAATTAAATAAATTAAGAGAAGACTAGGGGAATAGAAATATGAAATAGACTATATTATATATGAACATAGAATGATATAAAATTTTGGGTTTTGCCGAAGGTGGCGGGAACACTACTAAACCCTAGCATTTCCTGTCTTGAGCGTTGTCGTAATTCTCATGCATTAATAATAATGTGTACTCTACCCTAGCACTGCACGTCCTTGTAATTACAACTCATCATCTAACAAAACACCAAAAAGAACCAAATTTATTATTGTTTTTTTAATTCCTAATCGCATGTGTTTTTAGCGTAAACCGCGGTTGCGCAGAAACCTTATATTAATCAATTATTTCTTGCATGTGCCCCGCCACGGTCTACGTACATAAAGTACTGATAATACGTAGATTTATGTAAACACTTCATGTTTTTTACTCTTTAAAAAAAAATAAAAAATAAAACTTTTTGGTGAAAATTAAACGTTGGGTTTTTTTTTTTTTTTTGACTGGATCTCTTGTTGGTATGGTTCAATAATGTCTGCCTTGTTTGCTAAAAACAGGAAGTTTTGACTTGTTCAAGAAACTGTGGAGCCGATGGGGCCTCAAATTCTGGGAACCTGCTTCTTTGTATTTGTTGTTGGCGTTTGGCCAAGCCAGATTCTCTGCGACATCATTAGTGGCCTTTTGCTATACGTACGTATATGTTTTTCATGCTAATTAAATGATATTAACAACCTATAACGTTAGTTAATTAGTTGGTGCTTGAGCTTGCGAAGTAGTTACTACATAGTATTTATGCAAAAACAAACACGGACAATGTCAAAATAGAAAATGAAAATGAAGAAGATGTAGAGTTTATTCGGTGTGACACGTACATAGCATACATTTAGATGAGTGAAAGATATATTTTATTAATTAATTGGGTTGGTAAAACATCCACATTACAAGAATCATATTTTTATGTCAATTTATTAATTGTACATTTATAAATTTACTCATGTATCGTACCCCAACCGACTTCAGGCTCTAGCCACAGCTCACAGAGACAGTGTTGTCATTCCGTTGTGTAAGTTACATTGCACTCTACTTAATATCAACAGTAACATATGAGACATACACAGATGTTGTGGGCATGGAATTACTAAGGGCTCGTTTGGAAAGTAGGAAAATGACTTCTGGAAAATGTTTTCCGAGTTTTCAGTGTTTGGATGAACCATGAAAATCCAGTCGTTTTCTGTTGATTGGGGAAAATGGCATTTTGGCAGAAAATGACTTCCGCCTTCCACCAAAATGTTTAATTATACAATTCTACTAATTTTCAGAAAATAAACCAAATACATCAAATTTTTCAAAATGCAACCAAACACCGGAAAAGAAAATATTTTCTGAAAAAATAACTCATTTTCCAAAAGTTATTTTCCTACTTTCTAAACGAACCCTAAAATGCATATTTTAATGTGCATCTGGAAATAAAACTTCAGTTAAAATTTTACTTAGATTACGATATTTTTTGGAGAATTAATAGGACTTACGCAACATATATACAACATAAACTATATATGCCTTAAAAATATGGAGAGGATAAGCAATATATCTATGTTCTGGGTTTACATGATTACAGAGAAGACGAGGTAGCCATCATTATTGTAGGAGCAGACAAAAACGTTACGACACAAGACGTCATTGGCAATCCGACCAGCCATGGTGTCGTGGAGACATAGGAGCGATTCAAGCCCAAGTAGTGAATTAATAATCCTAGATTATTTCATATTATACGATGGATTATTATGACACGACTAATATGATTAATGAAATCCCATTTCGCTTGAGCATAAAGTCACAGAGGCCCCCACGGTGAGGATATTCAATTGGATTCATATCTACCAAATATTAATAAACAAGATTATAGAAATTCCTAGGGTTTGTCATGACGCAACAAGGGCGGGGCGGACGATGAAATCCCGTCCCTTAAATTCATTGAATTTGCAAAAAGGAAATGAATGATTGATGGTTGGACAGTGAAACGTTGGGGCTATGGAACAAGAATGAGAGAATTGGGAGTCAAAATTAGAACAAGGGGAATTGAAAAACGATCGACACGGTTTGTCGTACGTGATGCCTCGTGTGACAACGTAACATCGCGACCATATATTTATTCTCAGAAAGAGAGCTGCTGGGGATTGTAGTGTATGTATAGGACCCCCGTCACTGTTGAGAGTGCTGCTGCGTACGTGATCGAATTTAACAGCTCCGTTCCATTAAACACCAAAGAGAAACCAAAAAAAAAAAAAAAAAAAACACTCACTCACTTCAACAATCAAATTTTGCTTGGTGCAGAAGTATGCTGCCCTAGTTAGCCTAAAACCTAGTCTAAAATTTGGAGTAATGTTCTTGAAGAGTTTTTCTCGGTTGAGTATATAATATATAAATAATAAATATAGATTGGACCAGCTATTTGCTAGCTTAATATTTTAATTGAGACCGAAACATATCTTTCATTTCTGTATCAAATCCAAACCATGCAAAAATGCGAGACACTACAAGAAACTAGCTAAGAAAATAGTGAAATAGGGGTTCAGCCTTTTTTTGGAAGAAGAAAATAGTGAAATACCTGAAGTTTTTCTTGTGGTGTGAGTTATTTGAGGTTGGATTGGATCGAAACCATATTTTAGTCTATCTATAATCTTGAGTTAATCTATGTTTCAGTTTTTGCTTTAGGTAGGGGTAGTTACGTTGCTGAATGAAATTTATAATGCAATGCAAGATTGTATGCTTTCGGGTGGGAGTGAATCAAGTTTGTGGCCAAGTATAAACCATATTTTGTAGTTTTTGTTTAGGGTAATTAGTAAGTGGATTATTAGTACAATACAAAATTATTGGGTGATTCATGACTATGGTACGATTTTTGTGCGACATGTAAAAAAGTTACATTTTGGTGTTTAAAAAAAATTACTTATTTCCTTTCAAAATCATATATACCAAATATAATAATTGAACTTCCTTATAATTTTAATTCACCAATGAAACAATTAAATGTGAATTAGCACTTTATCCCTTTTCATGAAATTACAATTATTTTCCCCTAATTCCCCCTCTACCAACTAGCTATCAAACTACACGAAAACAATAGAACACCTATACGTTAATGAATTTGATTTTTGTTATAATGTGATTTATTTATTATCCTTTCAGGAGGGAGTTTATCGAGTTTGTAAGTTGTACCAAACCCATATTTTAGTCCGTTTAGAATATATAGTCAATGCATACAAGTTGCAAGATTATACACGCAAAAATTTTGAGCCACACCTTCCATTCTCTAAGTCAAATTTTGTGAAAACAAAAAATTATATTAATATTTTGCTATATAAAAATAATAATTGCAACGGCATCTTTTATCTCAGTAACCAAAAAAAAAAAAAAAAAAGGAGTATAAATGTAATGTAAGTGAGCGTAAGAAAATGAATGGTATAGAGAAAATGGAACTGAAGAATCTTTGGGCTATAAATGAAATAGTTCCCATAAGTAGGATGTACATGTTGAAATGACGTTGGAGGGTCTTTGTCCGATTCTTTTGGACGAGCATCAGCTTGTCGATTACCGGCCGTACACGTTTTGTCAGGCCGACAACAGCTGGGCCAAGTGGGCCGGCGGTACCAGCGGATACCGCGGCGGGGCGGAGCCAAGTACCTTACCGCCCACCCGTGCTTGCTTGTTTTTCATCCTCAAAAACCACGGATCCGCTTGGCGTTTTCTGTCGCCCCTCACTCTCCGTTGGGCGTCGCCTCTCTACATTAATTCAATAAATCTAATCCGAATTTATGATTATTAGTTAAGGGCGATTGAATTCGGATTAGTTCAACGTTTCTGAATGCCCTGCGCCGTACTGCACTGGATTGAACTTTGACAATTTGTCGTGTTTGGGCAGAGATTTTTTTAGCTTTGACCAGGGCTGTGTCGTGTCATTTTGGGAACTAAAAACTAAACACTAAAGAGGGCTTTGTTTTAAGTTTACCTTTTGGGTTTGGTCGGGACTTCCACTTCACTCGTGGGCTTTTGGTTTCCCAAGCCCTACATGAGTTCAACAACTTGGACGCTTCCCCAAGCCCACAATATTTGTGGGCCATTACAGCCATAACCGCTGGACTCCAATTATTATTCTTCCAAAAGCTGAACCCCAACCCTAAGGACCCCGGACTCTAATTATTATATTCATGAACTAGGATTCATCCTCATCTAAATATTACGTGTCTATAACTATTAGCTTATTAAATTTTCAATACATAATATGTTACGCCTTCAATTTATTTACATGCACATAAATCATTAGTTGTAAATACAAAATATGTAAACAAAAGACACATAAATGTTATTTTGGACTAAAGTCCAAATGCAAAGTAAGTCATGGGCCATGGTATAGTTTGCTACTGGATTCTCTTGCTCCCCTAAAGGGTGAGTGAGTGAAACATATTTGAAATCTTCATAAATGTCCTTCCAAGTTCCAATGATATTTATTTCTTCTTTTAATGTTCCTAATATTGTTGTTTACATGTACTGTGTGGTTTATCTAAATAATTTAAGTTTTTTTGTATAAGCATATGTAATGTTTATTACCAACAACATGCGGGTTCAAGTGAAATAATTAACTTGAACATGACAGAGACCATCGTCAGGCCTTAAAGTTTGGGTAGCTAGCCAACTGCATTCAATGATAATTAAAGGCTATTCTGGTACACTTTCCAGTCTATATAATGGAGCCTATGTATCTGTACGTTAGTTTCATGCCTCTCGTAGAAAACTAGGAGTATCTTTCGTTGTAAACACATTAAAGTTTTTTTTTTCTTTTCTAAACAGTGTCGTTTTACGGCTTTAAATTTGAGACGTCTATGTCCCAACTAACTCCGTCTTGCTGGTCAGACTATACATGGGCACATGGCAACCAACAATAAACGCATGCACACCTACTAGCTACTACCATTATATTATCTTCTTCAGCATTATCCAGCGGTAGTTAAGGCCCAGAAGAAAGAAGTGTGTTTTAACACCGCCCTAACAAATGAACAACGAGGCGATTTTCCGGGTCTTGGTTTGCTGGTTAGCGGCGGCCGCCGTGTTGACCGGGATCTACACTCACTCTTTCAAGAAAACGGCGTCCACTTACATATTTGGGATGTTTGCCATCTGCGGCGTGCTCTTGCCTGACTGGGAGTTCTTCGACCGTGGCTTCACCCACTGGCTCACTCCTGTACAAGTCGATCATGACCCCTGCCCGAAATCTCTGGGGAAATCATCTTCTCCGGCCAGGTAAATTTATCCACAAATTATCATATACTCCATATATATTATTGCATATGTTTTCTTTCATTGCCAGGAAGCACAGATCATGGAAATAACAATTAAGGCCCTGTTTGGTAAAATGGCTGTTAGCTGATAGCAGTTTACTGTTAGCTGATTGTATTAATTAGAGAGTTTAGCTAATTGTGTTAATTAGAGAGTATAAATAGTTGATAACATTAGCTGATTTTAAAAAAGTGTTTGGTAAATTAGCTGTTAGCTGATAGCTGTTTGGTATAATTTCTTTTCTCAAAAAGCTAATTGAAAAAGTTGCTTGGAGTAACTTTTTGAATTTTAGCCTTTTGAAGTTACAAAAAGCTAATTAACTAAACATTTATATTGATATTTTAACTAAATCACACAATTAATAGTGATGAAAAAGTCAAAATTGACCAAACACGGCCTAAATCTATAAATTAATGCAGGTTTAGATTGCAACCGATGAGATTGGCTGTTTACATCACCGTATACGGCTTTGCTTTTTACAAATGGTGGAACTTCATTATCTCAACCTAAATTAGCTTTTATACACCACCTCTCAGCCATGATGTATATGAATTGCCATGACACTTAGCTTTATGTTATGTTATTATTGTATCATTGTATGTAAAGTCAAATCATTATTTTATGAGTCTAACTAGATAAACTTACATTTTAATGCAATTTCATAGGTAAACACAATATTAAATTATAACCAAAACAAATTGAAATGGTATAAAGAAATTTCAATACAATCATATTATATACCCTGCATCAATAAATTAAAGTTCTCATTTTTCTTTTTGGTGATGATAATAACCTTCAATCATTATAGAAAGTGAAGGTGTGTATTAGTTAATTAACCTCTCTTGTGCGAGTATACAAATTTCAACCCCAGACTAGAAACCATAGCTCCTGGGCTAACACAGCAATGTCACCGAAATCATTGTTCCTCCGAGTCAACACAGATTTAACATGGTTCCTACTAAACTCCTTTTCACAATTCTCCTCGTCCAAAACCGCATCGCCCACTATCCGGGTAGCCGATTCCTCGCTCTCCGTCGAGGTCTCAATGGCATTCGGAATGTGCTCGCGTATGATGCGGTCGTAGAGACGGTGGCAAACGCCGAGGATCGTGCCGACAGCTTTGTCGGTGGTTTTATTCGCCGACGATGTAACGAACGACAGAGTTTCCTCGGCTTTGGCCAATGCGAACTCGACCATGATTTTGCCCAGTTCTGTGTAACCCTTGGCGCCGAAGCTACGAGGGTCTGATCTGAGGAGCGTCAGACATAGCTCGCGGTTCGTGGAGGCAGAGCACCCCCACAGCATCAAATTCGTGTCGTTTTCGGCGGCCATTGTTGCCGAGAAAGAATTCGCGAGAGCGAGGAATAGAATAGCAATGAAATTCCACTTCGCCATTATCGGATACGTTGTACAGTAGTTAATTGCTTCACTGGAAGTCTGGAACTGACAATTTATACGATCATAGAGCGTATGAAAATCCCATTGAAATTGAAATTGTGGAGTTATTATCATTAATGATAATTAAAATGCTGTGGTTACAGTTTACCAAGACAAAATAAAAACTCTTTGGAACGTGCGCCCAGCATTAATTCCGGTGGAGTCGTGGCTGGCGTGCCTTAAATTAATAACCTGTGTATGAATTTCATATACTGTAACGCTCGTCTTTTGAGTTATAACAATAATCTTCTCCTGTTACTATATAGGGAGTAATATTTTTGTTTTTTTTTCTTTGTTATAACAATAATCTTCTCCTCAAGAGCAACATTGGAGCATTCTTATCAGTTGGGGTTATTAGGGGGAGAATGTAAGAGTGAGTAGGAAAGAGAATAATGTGGGAGGGGAGGGAAAAAAAAATCAAAACTGATTTTATAAAAAAATATATATAAAAAATAAGCATGTCATTTCTCTATTGGTTCTTTATCCTTCATCATTAATTATTTTTCTTGGGTAAAGTAATATCCCAACATTTGCAGATGCTTCCCACCCCTTCTCTCTCTTGATTCTCTCTCTGCCACCATGGCATTTTGGCCTCAAAAGTAGTGAATTCTCCCCTATTTCTCCTCTGATGTAGATGCTCTTATCAGTTGGGGTTATTTGTGGGTCCCAACATCCACATCATCCCCATTATCTCACTCAATCACAAAAAACTCTTCTCCACATCAATTTTAAGTTTTTTATAAGTTATTTTTAGATCCACCATTTAACCCACTATATTTTAATTATTTCTTTATCTGTTTTATTTATATTATATTTACTTTTAATAAGAAATAGTGAAACATGCATACTGTATATGCGTAAAAATGAGAATTCAAAATGGAATGGTAAAACAAAATAAAATAATAAAATAATAAAAAGTTAATTAAATAATCATTTTAAATTTTAAAATTCACAAATATTTAAATTAATTTCCGTTATTGTTATTATTTTAATCATTTTAAAATTTTAAATTAATTAAATAATCATTCAAAATTTAATTAAAAAAATATTACATTTGGTATTTTATAAAACAAATTAAAACAATAAAAAAACAAATTAAATGTTAAAAACAAAAAATGAAGCTACATGAGAAATCGTGAATAAACAAACAGAAACGAAAAGATTTTCCAAAAAAAAAAATGGAAAGAAAAAGTAAATAGGTGATGAAGGACGTACGGTTGGTGGCCCTTGCCTGGCACAGCAAATCTGACATTATTCCTTACTTTGCAGGAGTAATCTTTTTGAATTAACCCATTCCCACATCAATTATGTTCCTTAGCTTGAGAGAATTCATCTGACAATAACTCCAAAATAACCACTATAGTGGATGCTCTAACTATATAGGGAGTAATATTTTTGTTTTTTTCTGTTATAACAATAATCTTCTCCTCTTACTATATACGGAGTAATATATTTGTTTTTTTTTTTTGTTTTAAATTATCAATTACGGCAATCTTATTATATATGTTAGAGTAGAGAGTCAAAATGTTACACATTATACATCTTGATGAATGATTAGGGATATTTGAGAAAAAGTTTAAGGTATAGCTAGAAATGTTAGTATATTTTTATTCCATATCAATCCTGTCGATTACATTCTATATAACTCTCTAATTAAATAAAAATACATAAATTTTGTTGGTAGAAACTTTATCGAATTGGTTGTATCATAAGCAAAATAGGTATATGATCGAGGATCTAATGTGAGATATAAGAGACAATATGTACTTATGAAGTTTGAGAAGAAACATTACTAATTGCCCAATTTAGACGGGTAGTGTTACACTCGTAAATTTCATGACTCAGACCAATGCATTGGTTTGGCTTGGGTTCATGGGTTTTTGCATGAGGAATGAATTTCGGGTTTAAATTATGAATGTGGCATGGCTTAGACGATGGATAACTTGATTGGTCAATTGGCTAAGTCATGGTTAGTTGGCATGAACAAGCGCGTTGGTACTGCGTGTTTCGAGGAGTCACGGGCTTAATTGGTTCGTGGTTGAGTGTGGTTGGTTGTTGATAGTTGGGCTAAGGGAGTACTGTTGATCTTATATGGTTTAGTGATCTTTGTTTAGAGACTTAATTAAGAGTATTGTGAAGATCCTATGTATACTTATATATAAAGTTGGGCAGTTTAGTCCATAAAAGCATATGTCCATTTTGTTTATCAATCGTTATGCCATGGAACCGTGTAAATGGTGAACACGGTTCCAACGGTGTTAGTATACCGTTATTTTTTATTTTTTTCTTAATTAATTGCGTGACTTTTCTTCTTCATTTTCACATTTTGCGGTTTCACTTTAATTTGAAGTGTGCACTGATTTCGGATATTCATAAATTATGAATTCATGCCTGCACATTCACTTTGGAACCATGCCTACACATTCACTTTGGAACCATGAGATTATGAATTTTTTGTTATGAGATTATGAATTTTCTGTTATGAGATTATGAATCTACATTACATTCATAATTTCATAACAGAAAATTCATAATCTCATAACAGAAAATTCATAATTTAATAAATATTTTACTTTTATGCAATTATGAATTTTCTGTTATGAGATTATGAATTTACATTAGATTCATAATCTCATAACAGAAAATTCATAATTTGATCAAACGCGCGCCGTTAACTCCATATTCGCGAATTTTTATTTTTATTTTTTGCGTAAAAACAATGTCGTTTGGATTTGTGTTTACTATTCACGGTGAACACGTTTCCAGGGCATAATTTGCGTTTGTTTATTGCCTAACTAAAAACAAAACACTTGGGTTAAGGTTTAAGTGGGCGAGGTACACAAAAACCAGGCCTTAACACCTAGTCATCCTAAGTGGAGAGGCCCAAAATATACGTGCATATTATATTGTTGTGAAGTTGCAATGAAAAAGATAGTTCACTGTACTGTAGTACATGCACTTTTATTTTATTACCTCCATTGGGCTTTAAACGTACCAATGAGCCATGATAGATGCTCATCAATCGTTATCCAAGTGTGCACAGTTGCAAAACGATGCCGTTCCATTAAAAAAAAAAAATCGTTCGAATTATCGTTAACGGCATTGGGCGGTTTCCTTTCGTATTCAAATTAAACAGTAAGATATATTCATAACTTCATAACTTCATAACTATATATCTTGAATTACATAACTATATATTCATAATTACATAATTATATATCCATAATTTGACAACAATATATTCAGAAATTAATAATTACACATTCATAATTGACCTTATCGATTCTGAATATAGTTCATTCATTCTGGATATAGTCAATTCATTCTGTATATATATAGTTCATTAATTCTGAATATATAATTCAAATTATGCACGGCATAACGCCGTTAATGGAAACAAAAAATATATTATTATTATTTTAAGTTGGACGCGTAATTTTTAATCAAAACGACACCGTTTTGCAACCGTGTGCACCATGTAGCACGGCATAATTTGCGGATGCTCATCTGCAAATTTTTCGATAGATCATGAATAAAAAATACATTTTTAATATATTAAAGGTACATTATTTATGTATTGAATGTATATTTTTTAATAGTATATAAAATAATATATATTCAATATACAAATGATATATTTTTATTATATTAAAATATAATTTTTTTTTATTTGTGATCCAAACAATTGTGCAGATCATTGCCTATGGAATAATGATTGATACTAATCACTCAAATAGTCAAAGAACTTGATTACTTGGAGACCCTTGTAGAGATCACAACAGATGTTATACTATGGATCATAGTCCACTTTGTAAGGTGAACTCTGATTTTAAATTGTATATGTTTAGTATTGAAATTGTGAAATTCTAAAATATAAACTGTGTTTCTAAGTATTGAATTTTTTTTTAATACAATACAAGGTCATTATAAATTGTGAATTTTTAAAAGGTAAATTCTTAACATTTAATAAGGAATAAGGTCCAAATTGGCCCCTGAACGAAACGTGAAAGTGCAATTAGGTCCCTGAACGTAAAAAAAAAAAATGCAATTACCCCTTTCAACACCTTAAATATGTGCAATTTGACCTGATAGCAGGTTAACATCCCATCTAGCAGATTGCATGTGTGAAGTGGATGATGACTTGACATTTTTTTTTTTTGGAAAGATGACTTGGCATTTTTTTTTTATTTCCTTCTTTTGTCTTCTTCTTTACAAAACAACTAACTCTAGCAGTTGTAATATTCCACCATCGATATCTTCTCTCAAATTTACAAGCAGGATAAATTTCATGAAAAAATATTCTATTTTACATAGTTATATTAACAACGAACAAGTTAATAGCTTTCACGGGCGTGATTTGGGAATTTCTGATGCAGGTACACGGTGAATGGAATTTCTGATGCAGGTACACGATGAATGGAATTTCTGATGCAGGTTTGGGAATTTTGATGCGTGGTTTGGGAATTTCTATTGAAGCTTTGCCTTAATACACGATGAATGGAAGAAAAGGAAATAAAAGGAAATTAAAAAAAAAATGCCAAGTCAGCATACACATCATCATATAACCGGTTGGATGGAATGTTAATCTGCTATCAGGTCAAATTGCACATATTTGAGATGTTGAGGGGGGTAATTGCACTTCTTTTACGTTCAGGGACCAAAATTGCACTTTCACATTTCGTCCAGGGGCCAATTTGGACCTTATTCCCATTTAATAATATGTAAATTGTGTATCTTTAAACTCAAATCTAACTTACAAGGTGGATCAAGGCGTCCACATAATAATTTGCCAGAGATCATAGAACCATATATAGGCTTTTGCGCTTACCAGTACACGTAAAAAACAGACTAAACACGACGGTTCATTTCCTCATTATTTTGGCCCACGAAACAACGTTGGTCTGATCTAACTGCAAATTCCGAAAGAAGAGATTGAAACAACGTTGGCAAAACCCATTTGTTTCATTGCTGCAGGTAGATTTGACTAGTACATTCGAGTAAGAAAACGTAGCCATCCAGTAGATTTATACAACGGCGTTTTGATAGCCTATTATTGTTTATTATTGACCACCAAAAGTACAACACATTTCTGGTTGGAACAATAACAATTTATTGATAGGATGGTGACTTCACGGGGGTTTTCAATAGTTGCACGCATTCGCACATGAAAATTTAATTTTTCAACGTTCTTTTTTAGGTACATTATTAATTCAAGATTTAAATACCTCTAAGTGTCTAACATACAAGTTGGAGTAGTTGATATACATCATAACATCAACCATAATAACCAGCTACAATTTTATCATTATTCGAGTGTGTATACGCTTATATGTAAATTTTGTACCCCTTCTTGGTAGTTGAAAATGTATCTTTCTAATAAAAAATATTAATTATTTAAAATATTGACTTACATAATGTAATTCATAAGATCACATTATTAATTACTTGTGTTTTGCAAAAAAAAAAAATCATACTTTTAAGTTAATAAAAATGGGAGTAGTTTCTCCAAAAAAAAAAAAAAAAAAATGGGAGTAGTTTAAAAAAAAAAAATGGAGTAGTTTATTGAGTTTCTTAGTGTGAGTTTGTCATCAATAACATCTTGGTTGGTTTATCTCGGGATGGTCCTTTACAGCTAAGGTAATAAGATGTAGTTTACCCCGTACACACGCTTTGATAGTGACTTTGAGTTTCCTTGTCAATCAAAAAGTTACTAAAAATTTTGAATCGTAACCACTGCTCGGTAAGAGTTCCACCCATCCACTATCGAGTGTCAAGTCGAGTATTGGGTTTGAAGTAAAGAAATTTTGCCTTTTATGAAAAACATTAAAAAGAATCAATTTCAAAAATTTAGAACGGTGAAAATGATGAAATAAAGTTGATATAATTGAGAATTGGCAAACCTCCATTGGATTATTGATTTTAGGGTACAATATAAATATCATTCATGGTCTTAAACCTTGGAGACTGGAGAGTCGTTACCGTACCCCACGTTTGCCTTCTTTCTTAAGGTAAATATATTTACACATATTGACATACACTTCATCTTCTGGGAACGCCCAATTAAGATGCCGTCTGTAAAGACGTTGTTGCGGCTGGGGAAACGTAAGCGGCTACGAACTCTTAATGATAATAATTTAACATAAGAGGCTTGGCCTTTGATTGGAAAGGTTTGGAGATTTCTGGTCTGGGAGGTTTACAAACTTGCAATTGGGACATGTCGGCGAAGACTTACAAACCATCACTAACATATGACACTTCTTGCACACCGCCGTCACCATCTCCGCCTGTTGATCGCCGTCGAACGTCAACCACGACGGCGATCGCGCTAGGCTTAGAAACCCCCCTCTTTTCTTCTTGCCCCCATCGCCAAGATCGTTATCCGGAAACCCTGGGATTCCGGGAGAAACGTCGGATTTTGTGAAATTGTCGCCGACGTTGTTGTGTTTCTCCGATGATCCGCATAATAGGTTGAGTTCCAGGTCCAAGCTCTTGGGAACCGGCTCCGGGCTTAGCCTTGGATCCCTTGATGTCTTCTCCTGCGTCCTTGTGTTGTAGAAATATACTTGCCCAGACTGCACACACACACACATATATATATAACAGTCGGTACAATTAACATATAAAAATGAAGTTTAGGTGTCACCCTAGCCAAGTTTGTCGAACTGTTCACTTGTTAACTATGTTCAATTCTTCTTGATTTAAGCTGATCAGATATTGATGGTTTACCCGGTGCAGACCCTCGGGTAGTGGTTAGAGAAGAAAAAGAAAAAGTTTACCTTAATGTCTAGGCATCTTTGCCACTCCAAAGGAAGGGGAGCCAAGAGAGGAACCTCATTTCCAAGCAGAGAATTGATGTCTTTGGCTCCCTGAGACCTATCTGCAGAACTGATAACGAACTGGTCATCTCCTCTCTTTCTCTTGTTGGATAAACCCTCAGAGAATTCATGCTTTTGCCACTGAGGTGAGTGAAAAGAAACCATGGCTGATGGATTTCTCGAAGAAAGATGAGAGTGGTGATGGGGAAAGTGAAAGAAGGAGAGGGTGAATATATAGGCGGAGTGGTAGAAGTGAGATGGAGGGTAGGAAGCCTGCAAAATAGAATCTAAATGGGCAAAAATCATTAATGGGGAAGTAGAAGGGGGTCCAGTTCTCAATGACGTGCTCGTCAAGTGAAGCGATGAATTTCTCTCTATTGTTGGGCTCTCGCAATTACTACTCTCCTCCAACCTGCTCTTTAAAGCAATGCTCTTAATACCTCTAACCGACTCTTCTTCTTGTTGGTCAATTTCCCCACTGTTCTCATCTATCTATCAACCTTCATGCATGCACTAACTTCATTTTTCTTCCTTCCTGTCAGTATCCGTACAGATTTGAATCTAACCAATTAATTAGTTAAATACATGTTACTGTATTAATAATCTCGATCATTTCTTCTTATGTAATTTTAATTTTCATTGTTAGGACTTTCTCAGTGATCCTTGTTGAATGTATTGCTGCTCCATGGGATATGGACCTCGGCTCGAAAGGCTGAATTGAAGTTGGCAGGTAGCTCAACGAAGAGGACATATGAGGGAATTGGGCGGACCGACACAGAAGAATAATGAGGCCAACCGTTGTGGAAAGCGGACCGACTACTCGATGCGGAGGAGGGTAGAAATCGGCATGAACTTTCATGATTAAGGCATTTAAAATATTTATAGCATTGATGATTTGATGAGTTTTTTTAATCATTTTTGTACATGTATAAAAAGCCTGAGAAAACTCTAAAAAAAAAAAAATTGAACAATTTTAATATACTCAAGTTGAAAGAAAAGGCAGTTTTCTATAAACTATTATTTTTTCAATAGTGTTGACCTACTGGTGGACTGTTTGGTAATTACAAAACCAACTGTGCCCATGCGATGAACCTTTGAGTGGTTGATCGGATGAGCTCGGTGGTGAAGTGAAGGGATTAAGGACCTGAATTGACGGTTGAAAGCCTCAATTACCACCAAAGATTTTAGGAAATTGTTTCCTTATTTTCATCACTTTCCTTTTGTAGATTTAGAATGTTATCTTGTAATTCAACAAAGCAATTTTCACCAAATCTGGGCCCCTTGGGTGATGGACCAGATTATTAGGCAATTTGTTTTCTTATTTAAGCCTAATCTCTATGTATAAATACCTCGTCGTGGAGCTGTAATGGATTCTGAATTTTCAAAGAGATTAAAGCATTTTATAGTTTTCCTTGTCTTTGAGTTCTTATTGTTACTTTGCTATCCTTTATATATTGGTTCGAACAATTGTGTTAGCTAGCAGACTACAAGTTCTACGTTATAACACCAATAATCCTAAAAAGGAAAATTGTAAATGATGATGGATACAACGTTAGGGGAGAAATTAGGGAAGGTAGTTAGATATAGGCGGTGAGATATTAGAGAGAGAGAAAGAGGGAGGTTAATAAATAGGGGGAGTGTATGCACAGTTGAAGGAGGGAGGCTTTGAATGCTTGGCTATGCATTATATTGCATGTCTTTAATGGATGGTCATAACTCCCACTTTCACAATTGGGTCACTCAGAATAACTACTACTACTACGACACTTTTAAAGCTCCTCAACACCCACTCCGCCATTAATTCTTAGTACAACATCTTTAGCTACTCATCATCCCATTCTCAAGGTTCAAATTGTCTATTGAACGTAACCTGAAAGTGTAATTAGACCATTGAACACTCCAAATGTATGCAATTTCACTTGATGCCTTGATGGCAAATTACCATCAATTTCAAGAGATTGTGGATGGTGAGTTAGCATTTTAAATTATTTTTAATATTGGAGACCAAGGCAGATCTCTTCGTCTCCGACCGGATACGAAGGAAGGGGGGAAGGGGGTGGCGTGAGACAAGTCCTTCGTCTCACGCCATCCCCTTCCCCTCCTCCGGAGACGGTGGGGAGAAGGGGGTGGTCGCTTTTTTTTTTTTTTTTCAAAAAAAAAAATTAATTTTATTTGAAAGTTTATTATTACAAGTTATTTAAAATGCCTATTCACATTCCACGTAAGCAGGCAATCTGGTGAAATTGATGGTAACTTGTTATTAGGTGGTGAAATTGCATATATTATTTGGAGTGTTCAGTGACTTAATTGTATTTTTTTTTTTGTTCAGTGACTTAGGCGATGAAATTATGCTGTACAATCGTGTGCATCATGCATGGTACACACGGAATTGGATCCATAATTTCTATACTATAGATTCATAATTTCTATACTATATATTCATAATTATTGAACTCTATATTCACAATTACAAAATTCTATGTTCATAATTTTCAATGTTCATATTCCCAATTGTTGAACTCTGTATTCACAAATCACTGAACTATATGTTCATAATTTGATAACTATATAATTTAGCTGATACTGCTAATTCTGTGTAAGCAATATAAAATAACACGAGACCAATTAAAGCAAGTAAAATCTTTATTGATCCCGGTAAAGGCCCTAAGTACAATCTACTTGGCTGCTCTGAGTACCGACTGACTGCGGTCGGAATTCTCTAACAACAACCTATCGATCGTCCAAAAGTCCCTTACACTGTAGCTACTGTGGGTATTTATAGCCGCTATGCCGGGGACAGGATTCCAGCCGTTCGGCATGTCCTCCACGTAGCCACCACGTGTCATCCTCCCGGGTGCCCTGCCTGTCGATGTAAAGAGCCGCCACGTGTCCTTCGTCAGCTCTTTCGCCAAAGGGCTACCGCTCGGTGGTCGACACCGTCGCTCGGGCAACTCCGGTCGGTCTACGACCGGGTTCTTCTCGTGGAGCCCGACCTGTTACCTGCAAAGACAAGGAGAAAGAGACAAAAGGCTCCTCGGTCGTGGTGAAGCTATGTCGGTCGGGATATTCCCTACCAAGAGCCCCCCAGCCCGGGCCTTTTTGATCAGTCGGGAAAAAACGGGACGGGATGAAGAAGCCCAACCGTCAGCCACCAAGCCGACCTGCCAGCTGTCATTCCCTCCTACGCCACGTGTCGGCCTCTGCCGGCCTCGGCGATCCCATCCGTCGCCTCGGATTCAGCGCGGGTCGTGTCAGGCAAGTTGGCCCATTTCCCGCCTAAATGCCCTCCTATAAATAGGCCCTTGAGGCCCTCATTTGAACTTTCCTCACTCTTTTGCTTCAGTCGGTATCCTCTAAGAATCCCGAGCAGAGCATCACAGCAAGGCGATCAAGCAAAGCAAAACTTCAGATCCTCTTCCAAGTTTCTTCACTCGGTAAGCTCCTAGCTCTTTTACTCTTTCTTTATCCTTCACTTAGCGTAGAAGTAGGATAGCGCTAACTTCGAGCTAACTCCCCGAACCCTGTACTAACTCCCGACCGACCTTTAGGTAGAATTATGTCGGACTCGGATAGTCAAAACGCCTCGATCGCGGACTATGACGAGGGGGTCGAGTACATCAGCGACGAGGAAGTGGACATTATGTCCTGCACTCCTGAAGCCAGCCCCCGAGCAACGCCAGCCCCTGAGCGAGCCGTCGAGCATAACAACGCATCAAGCTCCTCCGGGACGTCGAGCTCTAGCTCCAGCGGATCGGGGAGCTCCAGCGAAGAAGAGGAAGAGAGAACCATGTCAAGCGGGCGGGGTTCTCCGACCGAGGGCGTTAGGGAAACGCCTACCCGGGTGGTTGGGGACTACCCGGAAGCTGCTCCTCGAGGGGGGGATCGGGAAAATACCCCCGAGCAGACCGAAGAATACCCGGCCGGGCCGGCCACAGCAGCCGTCGAGCTCGAATTCTTGAACAGCGAGAGTGTCGAGCAAGAAATGAGCCTGCTGACCAAAGGCGAAGCGGCTCGGATTGCTGAAGTACTCCAGGGTCGAGTAGAATTCGACACGAGCCGGCGGCTGGGGAATGTAATTGATAGGCATCGGGGCAAGTGGATCGGGATGCATTACGACTCCCTAATGGCACCGATTGCCATTCCCTTCCCGGCCCTCTTGACGGCCTTTCTAGCGTACTATCGGGTCGTTCCGGCTCAGATCTGCCCGAACGCACATCGGATCCTCGCCTGCTTTCCGCAGATATGCACTCGGCACGAGGCCGAGTGCACGATGGAGTTGTTCAACTTCATCTACCAGATCAAGGTTCTCCCGGGCCGCTACGGGGGCGGATTCCTGATGCTGCAATCCCGAGCAGATATGTGCTCCATCAAAGGCCTGCCCGGGAACAACAAGGGGTGGAAAAACAGAATTTTCTCCATCAAATACGACCCCTGGATCCTCCCGGTCGATCGCACTTGGAGCAGTCACTTCAGAAAGCAAGTGGTGCCGGCCGCGACTCAGGCGCTCAAGGAGACGGTCACTCGGATCTCGAGTGAAATACACGAGTATTCCATCTTCCGGACGGCCGAGAGTCTCGCAGCCGCCAAGCTCCCGCCCCCCACGTATGAGCTAGGGGAGAAGTACCTGCCCGTACCGATGGGCGTAACGGTCGCGAAGCCGTCGAAACGAAAGAAGAAAGGTTCAGCTCGAGCCGTTCCTCCCGACCTAGCTTCATTTCTTAATCAAACTAACTTTGCTCTTTTATTGCAGCCATGGCAGAATTCGGCGATGAAGACACCGCCCTTCCCCCGCCCACGAAGATCTCCCTCGGCGGGAAGAAGAAGGCCAAGACCAAAGCAGCCGGGGAAAAGGAGATTCCCACTGCCCGACCCCTGAGTGCCTCGACCGTGTCGACGGGCGAGGGCTTCATCGTCGAGCAGCCTGACGTCTTGGTCACCCGGGTGGAGGTCGCCCGAGGCAAGGAGAAGGTCGCCGACCAGGGCGTGACCGAGGTGGGCAGCTTGAAGCGCCGCCGTGACCAACACAGCCCGAGCCCTTCGGTCGGGCGAGAGAGGGAGTCTACGTCCGTGCTGGCACGGATCGGCAACGCCGCGCCAGCCCGAGTGGATCTGGGGAAGATGACCCCGACCCAGGTGGCTGAACGGATCGGCCACGACCTGGCTGAGGTGAGCTTTTCTCAACTAACAACTTTCCTTTTGGGGTGATCGGGCTAACCCTGGATATCCTTTTGTACTGCAGATCTCCCGGGCGACCCA